TCACGGCACGGGCCGGGGCCGGGCACCCCCCGGCAGCACCCGGGGCCGCTACTCCACGGCGTCTGCCCTGCCAATAGTCCCGGTGATAAACTCTTGTACCGGTCCGGCAAGGCGGCTTTAGCATCTCCATCCCGCCCAGGAGCTTCAGGCCAGACCCTGCGCAAACCCACAGGGTCCACTCCTCTGGCTCAGAGAAAGAAAGAAGGGGAAAAAAAACAAAATAAATAACCAAACCCCTCCGCTGGGGTAGCTTGAAACTGCCGAATGGTGCCTGTTTAATTACTTAAATGATGTTTAAGAATACCAGATAGTATAGGCAAATAAATAGCATGGGCTGCTGGAAGAGGTTTCCACGGCTTGCTGAGCGCAGACAGAAGGCTGCGGTAACCGCATCTTCCCGCGTCTGACACATCACCTCTGCTCGCAGGTGTCGGGGCTTAGCGTGTCTGTGCAACTCTGCACACAGGCACACGCTCACGCAGATGTGTACCTGTATAAATATAAAAGCGTCAGGAAAATAAAGAGCTGGTCGGTGGCTAAAAACACCCCCGCGCCCCGCGCCTCCCCTACTGATGCAGCTTTATTCTCCTCCCAAGGCACCGACTCGGGGTTCCCTTCTTTGCTCGCCCAAACTCGGCAACTTTTGTATTTAAACGCCTCGAATAGTGCCGACGGCGTGTCGGTACCGGGAGATACACGCAGGGAATTACCTAGGCGAGAGAAATGTGCGAGAGAGGAGCCTAAGCTAGGGGAGAAGTGTGCCCCTCTGCAGCCCCTAAAACTCGTGTCGTGGACATGGCGAGGTACAGCCGCCAGCTGCGGGCAGGGAGGATGCTTCCATCGTGTCCTGAGACCTGTTTATTTCTTTATTTCTCTGTTTACAGAAGTGTTTGGATGTGCAGGCTAATCACCTTTAATTTTTCATTTGCTTGTTACAGATGTCTACCCCGTTGCTCTCAAGGTAATCTAGACAGACGCAGCTGAAAGCCTGAATCTTATGCCTTAGACATCAAAGCAAGCTCGCACAAAGAAGTATTTCTTCACAACGGTGAATCTTCATGGTAAGTTAGGATTTCTATGGCAATAGGCAAGTCATACTTAAATAGTGAAAGGCGAAGTCTGGAGCCCGTCCAGTCTTTTCATTAAGGACATAATATTTACGTCTAACAGGCCCTTTTTCTTGTGTATACAAGTATATATTTTTGTTTGACGCGAACTAAATAATTTTCATTTAATTTCCGGTAAACAAAACCCACGCGAACAGGGCACTTGTTCCAGACCGTAATAAAAATGGATAAGACTGTCAGGAAGAAAAGGCCCGCTTGAACCGTCGCCTCAGCTCACTTTTGTTTCTGCTTTCTGCCGGGATCAGAGAATGCGTTTGGGATTTGAGGGCGAGTTTCTAAAGGCAAGGAAATGGTTTTTAAGGGGGAAAAGAAAAGGAGAAAGGTCTAATCAAGCTCGGGTTGTTCAAAGGGCCTGATTTTGGGGTTGAAAGTGTGAGTTTTATGGTGCATCAGCATGCCACGTTAGGATCGCTATGGTAATGAGGAGAGCAATAGCAAGCGGCCTTCAAAGGAGGCACACTCCATTTGAGACAGTCTATTAAGATACATTTGCACTGACCTTTGGTTTCATGCTAGCTTAATACACTCAATCTGCTCCCCGCCAGAGATATACTTCCTCCACCTAATGCACTTCGGCGGAGTTGGGGTTTGCTGGGCTCGCCCTCCCCCCGAGGCGGGCTCTGCTCCGGTGTTGTGGTCCCGCTCTCCTTCTCCCCAAAGCGAGGGGCTGCCAGCCGGGCTCGGGGCGAGCTCCCGTCCCCTCTCCCCAAGCATTTCTGACCAGCTTCTCCCAACAAAACCCGGCCGCAAAGCCCGAGAAGGGCTTCCCTCTCCTCCCCCCCCCCCCCCCCCCCCCCCCCCCCCCGCGGGCCGCCGACGCGCC